GACCGGGCAGTGTTTCATTCTTTTGTGCTTTGGGTCTCTATGAGTCAATACCTACTTGATGGCCCCTAACAACAACAACAGCAAGAAGTAGAAATGTACAGTTGCTCCTGGGCCCTTGGTAATGATCACCATGCCTGAGGCACTCTGCATTTTGAGTTCTTCACTGACATTGAAAACACAATGAAATATCATCCTGAGCAAGTCCGCAATTCAACTATTGCCTTTTTGAGGTTCAGGTGTAATATGCCTTTTTTTTTAAATCTGTTAGCCACACATGGAGTTACAAATAAGAAACTATCTCAAAGCAAAAGGTTTATTTCTTTGAAGGGAGTAGGTTCTGGCAGCAGAACCTCTTTGATTGTGGATAGTAGGAAACCAAAAGGACAGAGAGACAAAGCCATGGAAGGTCGGAGTTGCTAGATTGACTCCCAGATGAGCTATGGGACCAGAGAGCATCTGAGTCAATGGAGGGAAGGCATACACTGCCTTGTTCTTCTGAGGTTGCCCTGATTCTAGAAGCCTGGATAATAGATTTAGCTTTCATTCTCTCGTTGGATTGATTTAGGCCCTTAAATTGTCACCTCAAAGTAGGCAGGAATACTACATTTATGTGGAGACCATATGTGTGACACACCTGATTTTCTCAGTGGCTTTCTCTGCTTATTTTGATATGGATCCTAACCATGACCATGCATTATGTATGCATTGATGTGACATAGAAAAAATTAAAAATATACTTCATAGGTCAACCTAAATGTTCCTGTATTTTGGGGACTTACTAAATATAACAACACTTTTTTTTTTTTTTTTTCCCATGAGCTCTTTTGTATTCAATGTTAAGACTTGAAGGATTTCATGTCATGTGCTGTAAATGAAATATCAGTTAAGGAAATAGGAAGATTAAGAAGATACCATGGTACTCTAGATTTCCTCTATTGTAGACTTTGTTTCCCTGTTTTGAGTTGTACAAGAAAATCATACATCTATTCATCTTTTACCTAGGAAGTTTAAAATGTGACAGATGTGAACGCTTTAAAATACTGAGCTCTAGAGCCCTTAAGGAGTCCTAGTGTGGCGCTGTGAGCTAATGCTCTGAACGGCAAAGTCATTTGAACCACAAGGTCAGTGGTTCAAACTCACTAGCCACTCCTTGGAAACCCTATACAGGGTTGCTATGGATCTCAACGGACTCAACGGCACTTGACAACAACAACAACAGATCTCTTAAGTGCTGCTAACTAGACTACCTCACTGCCATCAAGTGAATTCCAACGTATAGAGGCCCTAAAGGACAGAGTAGAATTGTTGTTGTTGTTGT